ATTGGGTCACAAGTACTCGTCACAGATCAGAAATAAAACAACTTAAGCATGATATGATATGACTCAATTGATGTTCTTATCTAGACTCTTCATCAGCTTCTTAAGGGGGTTTGTCTGAATATTGTGTTTCTGTATATGATTCAGATGGGACATTAATGCAATGGAGCAGCTTCCAGAGTACATGCAAATATGCTTCCTTGCCCTCTACAACTCCATTAATGAAATGGCTGATGATGCTCTTAAAGAACAAGGCGTTCACGTCATTCCCTACCTAAGAAAGGCGGTTTGTTTCTTTTTATTTGTTTGGTCATCAGGTTGACTATCTATTTTGATGTAGCCACTGTCATGATTTACTAGGGGTTGCAATTTTTCAACTGGACATGTTAGTAGGACATGAATAATAACTGGTCGGATTAGTTTCAAGAATACATAATTTGATTTTGACACAACAAAATTGTTTAATTCGTATCAAATGAATCCATGTAAAAACAGAGACTTTTTTATTTGGTTTTGCTTGCATATGGGTTGATTTAAATTTTTAATTAATGGGTGACATATGAGTGGTAGGTTTTAGGTGAAAAGAAAAGAGACCTTAGTCATGAGTTTTGGTTTACAGATTATGCGTATCGATTCTAACGTAACAATATAATTAAAGAGGTTGGGTTAGTGTCATTGTGTCCGAACATGTGGCATGCTTAATTAGGGAACTTGGATTATTTTTGTCCACAAAGTTAAAATAATACAATTCAAACACGGCAAGACGTGATTTGATAACATTGTGATTTACTATGCACTTTTAATGTTACAGTGGGCAGACTTATGCAAAACTTTCTTACAAGAGGTAACGTGGTACGTGAATGGATATACACCTACCTTGGAAGAATACTTGGACAATGCATGGATTTCAATATCAGCCCCAGTAATGCTAGTACATGTTTATTTCTTTGTTTCGAGTGTGATAACAAAAGAGGCCTTGGAATGCTTGGACAAGTATCATGATATAATCCGCTGGTCTTCAATGATTTTAAGACTTGCAAATGATTTAGGGACATCATCGGTATGCATCCCCTGCTCTTATCTATGTTTGTCAATCGAGCAAATTTCAATTGATTTGAAAACTCTGATTAGAATTCAATATGGATATTCAAATTCTAGTCAACTAAACGAATGTTGTTCATGTCACCTAGCCTCACCCTTAACTTCACTTGTTTCACACACACACATATATTAATGTATTGTCATTTCTTTTTCATTGTCTAGGATGAGATGAAAAGAGGGGATGTGCCTAAATCAATTCAATGTTACATGAATCAGACTGGAGCTTCCGAAGAAGAGGCTCGCAAACACATAACATTCTTGATCAGAGAGACGTGGAAGAAAATGAATGTAGCTCAAGTTGCAGACTCACCTTTCTCTCAAACTTTCATCGGAATGGCAGTGAACCTCGGCAGGATGGCCCAGTGCATGTACCAACATGGAGATGGGCATGCTTCTCAAAGTAGCGTGACCAAGGATCGCATATTAGCATTGCTTATTGAGCCCATTCCCCTTTGTATAAACAAATAAAAGTGTTGACGTCTGAGAATTATTTGGTTTAAGCCTGCATATAGAGTTCTCACCCAAATTGTAAAATTTTTAATTAATTACTGAATATTTATTTCATACATCAATGGTGATGTGATATTATCGTGGCATTGAATATATAGACCTCAAATCCTATGCCGCCGTAATGTAAGAAGTGAAAATTTTGTGTTTCGTTCTAAGGGTATGAGCTTTTTTTACCATAAGATGTCTTGCAAGTAGTGGCGAAGGGAGAGGAGGGCACGAGGGGGAAGGGTTGCGCTGCCACTGTCGGAGAGAGGCCACGACCCCCTTGACTGAGATCTAACAATTTAACCTAATATAATTGTCGAATGATGTGTTGATGAATATAATGCGAATAAAAAAGTTTAACAGTCGAAATTAAGATAATATTAATAATATATTAAATCTGATTATTAGATTCCATTGGCATTAAACAATGTTATAATAGCAGGGTCAACTCAATCACAAGGCCAACAATGTCTGAGCTTTATGTCTAAATAAAGTTGATGTAACTGAATATAGGATTGGGATCAGTTCAAAAAAAAAAATCGAGTAATCATGATCGATCCTATCTAATTGGAACCTCTAGAAATTTTGTTTGAAAGAATTTTTGGACCATCAAGTGTGTTAAGATCAATTACATATAGTCATGATCAATCTTTATTCAATGGAATTGTAAAAAAAAAAAACCTTTCATTGAATATTTGAATCAATCAGAGGCGTTGGAATCGATCCCAAATAATTATGATCAAGCATAACTATTGAGGTAAAGTTACTATTTACAAAGACCAAGTTATAATCTCTAAAGGTAAAGTTCATCTTTTTAAGGTAAAGTTACTACTTTAAGAGGTAATGTTACAACCATTTGTAATTAAATTATAGCCTATAGAGGTAAAATTACCACTTTTACAGATAAGGTTATAACCTCTGAATGAAAGGTTACAATCTTGTAAAGTAAAGCTACTATCCTTGGAGGTAATGGTTCAATTATTTGAGATTAAATTACAACTTGTAAGGGTAAAGTTATCACCTTTAAATGTGAGATACAAATTCTTTAGGTAAGGGTACAACTGTTTAAAGTAAATTTATCACATTTGAAGGTGAGGTTATTTTTATTCGAGGCTAAGTTACAGTCTGTAGAGGTAAAATTATCAATTTTAGAGATTAGATTATAACCTTTTAAAGTAAGGTTATAACCATTTATGGTGAAGTTACTACCTTTGAATGTGATGTTATAACCATTTAAAGTTAGGTTATAAACACTAGGTGCTTCGTTTGGTACGATGAAAAAATAGAAAAATAGAAAGTTTGAGGAATAGATAAAATATTGTATTTTGTAAGATAGAAAAATAAAAAGGATGAAAAAATGGATGAATGAGTTTTTCTTCCAACTCATCAAAATCAATCCCTCTAAAATTGGAAAGAAAGTTGATGGAAAGTTAATTATTTGTGTTGAAATGTATCTTTTTGTTTATTTATTAATTTAATATATAAATACAATGATAAAATATGTATTTATATTTTTCTAAAAAATTTAAAATAAAAATTTTTAAAAATAAAAAATATATATTTTTTTTCCATCTTACCAATTAAGCACAAAAAAAAATTATTAATTATTAATTTTTCATTCATCCTACCAAATACAAAGGAAATAAAATGTATCATTTATATTTCCATCTTTCCCACCAAATAAAGCATTGAGGTAAAGTTATCACCTCTAAAGATGAAGTGGCGTTACAATTTTTTGACATGAGCTTACAATCTTTTAAGTTAATGTTACCAATCTTAGAGACAACGTTATTATTGTTATAGGTAAAAGAGTAATGCTAGATGGACTTAAAAATTAGACTTGATAATCTCAACCATTGAATAGGTAGTGAGTTCCAATAAATGTTGGGACTCACAGTAAAATCAATGATTGAGATTATCAAATCTAATTTTTAAGTCTACTAGGTAAAATTACAACCTCTTTAGAGGAACATGTATAACCTTTAGTGGCAAAGAATCACTTTAGAAAGAAATATTTAATGACAAAAAATTGACAACCACACATTTCTTATGGCACATTAAAGAATTTTAAAGTTGACTTAAAGAATTTTGAATTTTGAGTTTATTAATAGTTTAAATTTGAATCGATTAATATTTTGAGTTTATGATTGTCTTATGGGTGATAGATTTACTAAGATTGTGAATATTGTTAGTCTTGGATTTCTGATTCATGGGCCGGCTCAAAGTAGATTGAAGCTTAAAGCGGCATTTCTAAACGATACTTTTTTTATTTTTAGTATTAAAATTTTTAATTAAAATTAAATATTTTTTGTAATCACAAAAGTACTAATCAAGTTTTTATATTCAAATTTTACTACCATTTCTTTTTCAATTAATAGTATCGTTAATCAAATTAATCTTTTTTGTGGCAAACTCGACTTTAAGTAAAATTTTATCAATTTTAATTTTTAAAATCCTTTTTCAGCAAAAACAACTATTATTGAAATTATTAACAATATTCTGTAAGCAATGCATTGGAAAAAAAATCTAACTTTTTTTATGTAATTTAGTACCCAATTGGAGTGTTTTCTTTCGTTTATAGAATTTATTTCAACACATTTAATTTTAAAAATAAATCTAAACCATCAATATTAGAAAAATTATCATGTTTCAAGTAACGTTTGAGATCAAGACAACGTTATTTTAAAATACCATCATTTAATGATTTTAATTTTTGTAGGTTAAATAAAAAACAAAAAATCTTTTCATACATTTGAAATTGTCCAAATCTATACTTCAGGGAAGAAATAGTTTTATCTAGTATATATATGAAATAACCGATCCTAAAAGTCTTTTCAGCAGATTGTGTTACCACATTATTAATATTTTTATCAAATTATTTTTTTCTACAAATTATATATTTTTCACGAAATATAAGTTCTAGGCCCAGTTCACATGCAATCTCTTTAGATGTGGACTTATATTTGTATAGGACTTTTTTTGGGGGCCTAAATATTTTATAAATTTAAAATTTAAAAAAATTTGGTACCATACTTCTATTTATCACATTTGTGATTAATTTTATTATATTTGTAAGTATTTTTCTCAAAAAAATGGTAAAAATAATTACCACAAAAATAGTAAAAATATCTATAAATATAATAAAAATATCAACAAATATGATAAATCACCCACAAAAATAATAATTTTTTTTGTACCGAAGAAATATGGTAAAAATATTTACAAAGATGGTAAATCAACAACAAAAATAATAAATTTTTTTATTTGTAAAATAACTCATAAAAATTATAAAAACACTCTTAAAATAGTAAATTTTGAAAATATGGCACTAAAGTTTTTTTTGGCGGTACCGTAGTGAAGTCCAATATTTTGTTTCTATGCAATATTGCAGATGGGACATTAATGCAATGGAGCAACTTCCAAAGTATATGCAGATATGCTTTCTTGCACTCTACAACTTCATGAATGAAATGGCTTACGATGCTATCAAAGAACAAGGCGTTCTCATTGTTTCCTACCTAAGAAAGGCGGTGCATTTCGCTTCTTTTCTTTTTCTTTTTTTTTCTTTCTATGAACCGAAAAATAACTGGTTACTATTTTTATATATGTTCCAGTGGGCAGAATTATGCAGAAGCTACTTAAAAGAGGCAGAGTGGTACTTCAATGGATATACACCGACACTGGAAGAGTACCTGGAAAATGCATGGATTTCAGTAGGAAATCCTGTCATGCTAGTGATTGTTTATTTTTGTGTCACAAATCCAATAAAAATAGAGGCCTTGGAATACTTGGACGACTATCATGATATAATCCGCTTGTCGTCAACAATTTTAAGACTTGAAGACGATTTGGGAACGTCATTGGTATGCATCCCAAGCTTTTCACTTTTTTTTCAAGAAAAAAAAAATGTTGAGATATTTGATTCATTGGTAGCTAAGTTCAAAACTAGGTCATTGACAAACAAGTGATACAATTGTGATTTGATTTGAATTAGGATTAAGTATATTAATTTATGATAAAATTCAATGCTTCTTTGATGAAATGTTAAAATTTAGATATAATTTGTAAAATTTAGCTAAATGCATTATTTAGAAAGGATCAAATTTTCGAATTGGGTTTAAAATTTTTAACAGATTCAAATATGGGGTATACAAATCAAATCTCTTAGATGTACAGATATCATATTTGGAATGATTTGAAATTTGTTAAGGAATTCGAATATGGAGTGTAAATTTAAAATCTATCCTAAATACGAGTTGGATTTGTATCAAAAATTTTAAATTGGATATTGATTTAACCCGCGGGGTCAGTTCAAGATATTATAAGGTCAAAAGTGACATTCCTAAATAACACATTTTGCAGCTTTCAAGTTAAAATTGTGTGTCTCACAATTTTGTGCGCAGTGATTTTCGCACAATAAATGAATGGAAACAGATATCTCCTTTGGTAAACTCGTGTTCGCCGAGAAAATGGTGGATCCCGCGAGAAAGAATAGGTTGAGAAGACTAAAGGGGGCCTAAGGAGTGGTGATGAATTGTTTCAGGAACTGTTTGATTGATTTCAGTCGGTTGTTGTCTGTTCCTGGCACACAGAAAACCAATTAGAAGGGCGTCGAAGTATTTTTCAGTGTATCTCCTCCAACGATCAAATCAATTCTTTGAAAAAGGGGAAAAAAAAATACTGTATAGTTCTTGAGGAGTGATTTTGCGTATCTTTGCAATGTATTTTTAAGGACTATTTATATTTCAAAGACTCATCATTACTGATGATCTAGATAGTAGGTAGCGTCCAAAAATAGGGCAATGTGGCACCTATTTTGCATAGGGGATGCCCCAATATTTACCCCGAGCACTTAATGCTCTTTCTTCAATATAGGGACATTAAATGCTCAAGCCCTAGATCATTTAATGCTCCTCCTCCTCGGCTCCCAAAGCCACTGTGAATGTCCCATCATGTGGGGATTCATTAAATGTTTATCTAAAACAGTCGTCTGTCAGCAGGAGTATTTTTGTTTTTTTACCCCCAACTCTGCACTCTATGCCATGTGCTTAACTCTCATTGGCTCAGTGTCTTACTTATCTTGTCATCCTAGCCTCATCGTGCAGAGCACTCTCATGATTCCTAACTTCGTTGAGACTGGTCAGCTGTCAATCAGTAGCCTGTCCAGAAGCGGGAGATGCATGACAAGACCAGGGCTACATACTTATGGAGTCGAGGACACATGTCTGTCTCGGGGTGGAGCTACCTTAAGAGCCGAGGTATATGTGACTGCCAAAAGAAAGGGGAGACCTTGGCGTCGAGGAGAGTGTCTGTAAGAGCAGAGGACGGGGGCTTTGGCGCCGAGGACACATGATATTGCCAGAGGCAAGGATGCCTTGGACCGAGAACACGTGTTGTCGATCCACTCCCTAGTCAGAAGTGTCTCATCAATTTTATATGCAAAATAACTACTTTTATGTTTTTACATTGTTTGCAATTTGATTTTGTGACTAAAGTAATAAATTTTTCTTGTGACCAATTGATCTCATGCAGGATTTAATTAGTTTAAAAACATCTTTTGTGAAACAATTGTTATAAATAATGCCAACAATATATTATAATTTGTGCATGCATTTAAAAAATAATCAAAAGGGGAGAGAGAGAGAGAGAATTTTTTTTTTTTTTTTTGGGGTGGGGTGGGGTGGGGTTAGTTCTCTTTATGGTTTACACCAAAAAAAAAGAAAAGGTGTAACCCATTCATTTGTCTGTTTTGGGGATCAAATGTGACTATTGCTTAAGTTTTTTGGGCCTAGCTTTTAAAAAAAAAAAATCAGAAAATTGGAAGTCTGCTTAAGTATTATTCTTAACTTAATTTTTTAAGTTAATTGTATAAAATAATTTAACACTATGTGGACAGATTTTTTGAGCGTACTGTGTAAATCAGTACTTTACTTTCTATCACAATTAAAAGAACACCCATAAATGCCTCTGTCTGTTTGCCAATTCCTTTGAAAAATTTGGTAGGCTTTTGGGCTATTGTTACCATGGACTTTTATATATATATTTGATGTTACCTTTGTCTTCTGCATAAGCAATTTTTTTCATTGTCTGTTTATTTCACACACATATAAATATATTATGTATAATTAACTATCATTTCCTTTTTCTTGACTAAGGATGAGATGAAAAGAGGAGATGTTCCTAAGGCAATTCAATGTTACATGAATCAAACGGGTGCTTCTGAAGAAGATGCACGTAAACATATAAGATATTTGATCAGTGAGATATGGAAGAAAATGAATAAAAGTCGAGTTGCAGAATCCCCATTTTCTCATACTTTTATTGGAACGGCAGTGAATGTTGAAAGGATGTCCCGGTGCATGTACCAGCATGGAGATGGGCATCCCTCCCAAAGTAGCGAGAGTAAAGATCGCATTTTAGCATTACTCATTCAGCCCATTCCCCTTGTGTAAACAAGTTAAAATGTTGGAGTGTTTGTTAACTTTAGTTAGTGTTTTATAAAACTAAAAATTGAATGCAAAAGTTGTGGTATCGGATACTTAATTTTATAGTCTACCATGTTAGAAGTTATGTGTAATACCTCAAACTAAAATAAGTCGACTCTTGTTTGGGCGAGCGAAATGAAACAAAAGATGTTTACTCCAAAGACCGATGATCGGTTTTTACTCTTCATGACCACTTAATACAAGGAGTTGAATTGCGAAAGTTTTTGGTTGTCTTCTTTTTCTTTTCCCTACCGCCATTACTCATCCACACCATTCTCACCTCACCATGACTGTTGCCATCAAAATTCCCCAACCACCACTCTACCACCTCCCCAACTTTCACTGTGTCACATTAACCACAACCACCATCGTAACTACCCTAATCCAACCACTGCCACTAACTTTGCCGCCGCCACCACCATTGCCACGGTGCCACCTACACAGGCAAGTTGTGTTTGAAATTATGATTGTTAGACAACACAATTTTCAGTTGAAAGCGTATCTGAAACATACGGCCTCAATACCCCAATCATTTTACAGCGCCCCCCCCCCCCCCCTTACTTTTTCTTTATTCACTTATACCATAAGTCTGCCATTCGAACTTCTAATTAGAATCCAAATGTCAGGTCAGTTAAACAAAATTAAACAAAAAATATGAGGCAGTGGTCAAAGTATTCATCCCATACACAATTCATTTATAGTTTTGAGTAGTTAGTTTAGAGACGTAAACTAGGGTAACCCGTGGTTGAAGGCACGGTACAATGTGAATGGTTTTGAGAGATGGTGATGATTATCGGATAAATCTATTCAAAACCAAATTTATTGAAGTCTGCCCTATTTTTGGTTTAAAAATAGAGTAATACTATATAGACTTAAAAACTAAACTTGATAATCTCAACCATTGATTTTACTGTGGATCCCAGCATTTATTGGGACCCACTACTTATTCAATGGTTGATATTATCAAGTCTACTTTTTAAATCCATGTAACATTACTCTTAAAAATATAAATTATACATAAATATATAGTCATGTACAAATGAATACGCGCTACACATAATTAGGTTCGTACCAACTTAATTATTAAGTGGGTTGAACAGGTTAACCCAGACATAGCTCAAAATTCCTTTAGGCTAAACTCGTGCTTGATCTCTTCCATTTGGTGCGACAAAAACTCCTTTTCATACCTAAGTCTTTGCTACATAGATTATTGTCATCTCGAGTCCGAAAAGAATCAAATATGCCTAATGTTATCTTACATTTAGGGACAAATGACATTTAATTGTCTAAAAATTTTTTACATTTTTAATTTATATTCTTAAATATTAAAATTATCATATTACACTATCAATCAAATAAAATTATAGCAAAATGCTCCATTTAAAAAAAACACAATTTTAATTAAAAACACTTAATTTAATTATTAATTCAATTTAAAAATGAGATTTCATTTTAATGGGTATGGGTTGATGTAGATATAATTATTGGACCAAAGAGGAGTTTATAGATATCTATTTTGAAATTGAATTCATTACTATTATTTGGGATCCATTTTTGGATAAAAGAAAAATCATAGTTGAAGGGACCAATTAAATTTGAGGGGGGAGAGAGAGAGAGAGATGGGGGACGAGAGGGTGAAGAATGAGGCGCTGGAGATAATGGGATTGTTCCAAGTACTGCCTCGTTTGGTCGTATTTGATCTCGACTACACTCTCTGGCCTTTCTACTGGTAAATCAATGGATACTTTTGCTTAATTATCAATTGATTGAGTAAGTCTCGATTTGACTGTACAGATTCATTCATGTCTGTGTTTTTTTTTCTTTCTAATTTCTATGTTTCCTGTTTTATCTCTTTTGTATCGCATTATTTGAAGCATGTTGAAAATTCTTGTCAATTAAATAAACAATCGATTGCAGTGCAAAAGGGTTTATTTATTAAGAATGTTCAACTTGTTGATCCCAAGAGAGAGAGATAAATAGAACACTGATATTTGAAACTTGAATTACTGGGGAAAGGAGGAATTTCCCTCAACTTTTTAGCAGAAAGTTTTTAGCCTGTTTATAAGTTTCATTATTCAATTTACGGAAACTAATCATTGTTATACATACATGAGCTAAAGCAATATATAAAATTTGGTTTTTCAAGAGGACTTAGGAAAAAAAATCTTTTTTTTTCCCAGAGGTTGTGTTGGTTATGTGGATTGAGGGGTTGGATGGTTCTTTGATTGGAGTAATGCTCTTTGAACCTAAAAATATGTCCTACTTTGTTTTCCTAATGAGGTGGTTTCATTGTAGTCATTAGATTAACCCCAAATTCCAATGTGAATTAGGTCCAAATAGAATTGCTCGATTGATTGTGTCTGCGAGTTTGTGTTTGTGTTGGGGTTTTTTATTATTTAGAAAGTAAGGATGCTTTGGTGTGGGATGGGATGGTACCACAATCTCCAATTCTCCACCATGAACACCACCAAATCATCCAACTTTGAACCCTGTCTCTGTCACCACAAAAACTACCACTCTCACTTCCACCTTGTTAATCATTGTTGGCAACAAACAGCTTTCACAGCCTTCAATTATTGGCCCATTGAACGCAACCTCTAACAACTTTTGGTTAATACCATCACAATGGTCGCACCATTACACACTGGCAACACCTTGAGTGACTTGATGCCAACACCACCACCACAATATACTAGTTTATTGTCTAACAAAATGAGACTTCGTTGGTTGCACATAATGCATATAAGCACAACAATTCATGCCTGGGGAAAAATTTGTATCCATCAATATGATGATTTGTAGTTGGGACCTCTCCAAACTTGGAAAAGAACATATTGTCGAAGACTAATGGGAATTGAATGGAGATACTTTGATTCTTAGGTCAATAAAAGTCTCAAAGAATATATGTGATGTGTACTTGAGTCCTCATAGATTACCGGTATTTATAAGGAAGGGATTCCTGTCAACAGAGGAGCTGTAAACAAACAAGACATGTAAGGTTTTGTTAAGATTGTTTGCAACTAAAATAACGAGTTTTTTAATGGTTGTATTAGGTATGGCTTTTGACTTAAAATTTTGTTTTTCACATTACCTGTTTAATGATAACTCCAATGTGGTACTTATAATGGGTACTATGGGCATTCTTGACACTAGAATGGACTCCCTTCCTGAGTTTGTCATTAGACCAACTCAGGAAAATGGAAAACTTTTACTGTCACACTATGGATCTGTAGCTGTGTATTTGTTTCTTTAACCAATCTGACCATTTCTTTATTATTGTATATTGTTATGTTTTTTCTCCAGCGAATGCCGCTCCAAGCGTGAAATGCCATCATTATATCCCCAGGCTAAAAGCATATTGAATGCGCTCAAGGACAAGGGAATTGATGTTGCAATTGCCTCCAGATCACCAACTGCAGATATCGCAAAGACATTTCTTGACAAATTGGGACTTAAATCAATGTTTGTAGCCCAGGTGAACTCATGGAAACATGTTTTTGTTTTGTTTTGATTTCTTTTTTTTTTTTTTTGGCTGTTATGAGGACAAATTTAAATGGTTTAAAGTGTCTCCCTTTGTAAAGAGCATTTTTTGGTAGTATCCTTTCGCCATCATATCATCTGATTTCCAATCAGAGTCCCACCGTCCCAGTGTCTGCTTGGCACATATACAAGATACTTTGTAGAGACAAGTAATGGTATACAAGGACAATTACATGGTTTAAAGTGTCTCCCTTTGTAAAGAGCATTTTTTGGTAGTATCCTTTCCTCCTCATATCATCTGATTTCCAATCATAGTGTCACTGTACCTGTGTCTGCTTGGCACATATAAAAGATAGTTTGTAGAGATAAGTAATTTATCCTAATTTAAACAATATGCCTGTCATTTTCTAACTCTCAAGGATCTTGGCAACTAATAATCAGAGTGGAGAGGTTTGTCTAAAAGAAATAATAGGATGAGGAGAGGTTTGGCTGTGGAACACAATTCCGTTATCTGCATGTAACTTATTATGTGGCTGACAATTGCCTGATATCATTATTGGTTATAGTCACTTCAGTGAAAAATGTCTAATCCGTAAGATCTCTACATGACCAGTACTCTGAATAATTTTCTTGATATTTCAGGAGATCTTTTCCAGTTGGACACATAAAACTGAGCATTTTCAAAAAATTAACAGGAGAACTGGGGTGCCCTTCAATGCAATGCTCTTTTTTGATGATGAGGATCGGAACATACAAGGGGTGAGATTATTTTCTTGTGTTATTTATTGTAGAACTTCAATCTCATATAAGCTGAGCATTGAGCTACATTAGGAAAAAAATATAAGTCTATCTTGTTGGATTCTTCCGCCTTTCAATCTGAAACATTAATGAATATTTATCTAGGTTTCAAAAATGGGTGTGACAAGCATTTTGGTTGGTAATGGGGTGACTCTTGGAGCACTGAGGCAAGGGCTCACTGAATTTTCTCAAAATTGGGGTGCGCTGGAGAGAAACAAGCAAAAGTGGAAAAATTGGGGATCATCTGAAACAAACGAGCAAAATGAATGTCCATTTTCGGTCACTTAATGTCATAATTCATACATTGGTCAGATTTAGCAATTTTCACTTTGAAACAGGATATTGCAGAGAACCAGCAGGATAACTTGATGACTTGAGTGCAAAAATATAGAAATGTTGTTGTACCAGTATTTAGGTTTTGAGTGATTGCTTCTAGCTTATCCTTTCATCCGCAACGAATTTTAAAATTGTTGTTATGATCTGAATCAAAATATTGATGTTTCATGTGGTGGTTGAAAGAAATAGTGGTTTATCCTATTTGGTTTAAGTAAACTTCTTTTCACTTATTCAGTCAAGCATGAGACCTCATCTCCCATTGCATGTAAGTGATTAGAGGAAGCATTCATTGTTCCTTTCTGTTCTTGCCACTCTTTTTCAGTATCTCTAGTGTGCATATGGTTGGATATTTGAATAAAACACTTAATGCAAACCCGCACGGGTTGCCCAATGTTGTGGGTTTAGTTTGCCCCAAACCATAAATTCGATTGGTCTGTGGCTAGCAGATGCGAAGTTTACTCTGCAAGATGGGTTCAATAATATTGGATTGCTAAGAATCCCCATCTAGGGGCCTGTGTGCTTGTGCTCTGGTATGCACATAAAAGCAGCATGATTCTTTTGGAGAATGATGGTTACCAATTGCTCCGCTTTCAAGAAACATACATTCACAATGATGAAATAGAATGTGAAACATTTGCTTAAAATGCTTTTCAAAGAGAGAAATGACATGTCCCGGAAATCAGCAACTTACTTCGATTTCTAGAATGATGGAATTCCAAACTGCAGGCTGTTGTTGATAATCTGTAAACAGTGCGCAATCTACAGGTAAATCAATACATTAGTCTGTTACATCTCTTGTGATAGCCTTCTGAGACAGGCGGTTGCATTTGCTGCAAGAGCATAAAATTTGCCTCTGAATTAGAGGACCAGGTGGTTCAGCTCAGTTAATGGAGACCTTTTCTCAACACTCTCTTCAATCCCATTTCTTGAGAGACAAGGCAGTGTGCTTTCTATCCTACTACTAGGATCATAAAGCTCACCACTGGCTATCAAATTCATCTCAATTGCATTCGCATGCTCACAATTTTGCAATATCTTCCCCAGAATGCCCGTAAGTTCAACATCTTTTTCAGAGAACTCATCAATCCATTCACAGATTCTCTCCATTTGAGTTAACAAAACCTCCCTATGTAAAGATAGTTTCTTTCTGTCTTCGAGTAGGGTTCTATTCTCAAACTCGAGCTCCTGAACTAGAACCTTGAAGCACCTCTTTTCATTCCCAAATTGAGCCTTCAATGTTTCCAGTTCTTGCTCCTTTGCTTGCAATAAAACTGCTACCTTCTCTGCTTGTTTCGAATTAAACAAGGCTTCCTCCTGATATTTCAGTTTCTGACGTAATTCACATTTATTTATCTCTAATTGCTCCGTTAGATACAAGATCTTCTCATCCATCTCTTTGTAGCTCAGCTCCATTTCAACTTGTTTGTCCAACAGGTTTGAGTAAGCTGCAGTGAATTCTGATTTTAGGACGATGATTACTATAGAAATCTCTTGATCTTGAACCTCCAACAAACCATCACAGCCTTCCAGCTCCTCCTGGAGTTCCTTTATTCGTTTGTCTTTACCATTCAATTCAGACATGTAGCAATTCATCTCCTTTGCCATGTTTTCAATCTGAGAACTCCATGCAGCTTCTTTTTCTTTGAGATTCGCTGAATATTTGCAATTCAACTGCTCTAAATTTCGAAGCTTGGTTTGTAGGTTTTTCAATGAAGAAGAGGGTACAGCATTTATGATTTGAGCCTCATGAAATTCTTTAAGAGATCCCTGCAATTCCTGATCCTCTTGCTCCAGGTGTGCAATTCTGTATTCCATTTCTTTGGACACTGTTTCCTTTCTTCCCAGAGAGTTCCTTAGATTTCCAATCTCTTCATCCCTCTCGATTGTCAAGTGTTTGATCTTTCTTGTTGCTTCTTGACACGCTAAAAATACATTGTTATAACGTGATCTGAATTCAGACAGCTCAACTTCAAGAACTTTTCTTCTGCTTTCTTCATGAGTTAGGGCCTGGTTGCACATACCCAATTGGGTCTGAAGGCTTTCTGAGATTCTATTTTGGGAATCCAAGCTTCCTTGCAATGAACAAATCTCTTCAACCAGTGCCGATTTCTCCCTCTCCCACTCCACCTTGGCCAACTGAAACTGATCTTGAAGCCTTTTGTGAGCTTCTTCAAGATGTGTAAACTGTTCATTCTTCCATTTCAGCTGTTCTTGTGCAGTACTGTTTTCCTCCTCCAGTTTCACTATTATATCATCTCTGTGTTTTAGCTCTTTGGATGACTCTGCTTCTTGCTCTGCTTGAAGGCATTTCTTCTGTGTAACTGATACGAGTCTTTTCAGACCCTCAATTTCCTTGTTACTGGCACAAATCTTTATCTCCAAATCTTGGATTCTTGCTGTTGCTCCATCTAAGCCCAACACCAACTCTTCGTTTTTCCCATCCAACTTTTGAATTCTCTCATCATAATCAACTCGAATTTTTTCATTTGTAGAGTTAAGGTTATTGAGAAGCGCTTCTTTATGTTGCAAAATGGATTTGAGGTCCTTGTAAAGCTGCCTCAGCTCAGATATTTCCTCCGACTTGGTACTTAGTTCATGGGCCTGTTTTTCAATCTGCAGCTTGGCTTCTTGAAATTTAACTACTTGCTCGTTGTAAGCTTTCCTGAAACCTTCAGACAGCTCAGCTTGGGCGCGGAATTCTTCCTTCAGGTTTTCTAATTCTGATTTAACTCTATCTAACCCTTCAAAAACTCCATCCATTTCTTGAGCTTCTGAATTGGGATAGTTAATATGCTCTAATGCACACAAATAGGTTGAAAACAAAAACCAAAAATGAATAACTGGGTGCAAGACATAGTAATAGAAGAAAATGTTTTACTTGCAGAAACCATAAAATATAGCTGAAAAATCATCAGGGTAACTGCTCAGAGCTTCTAAAGTCCATCAGAGAAGCTAATTTCAACCTCATCAGGGTAACTGCTCATAGTTTATAGATATTAAATTGCAACCTCATGTTTGAATCATACATTGTGTTTCAGCCTTCAATGTGTTTATTAATAATGTCCTGGAAATGACTATACGTTTGGGGAAAAAAAAAGGAGATACAAATCCATTAGTTCTTCATATTTCAAAATCAGAAGGCAAAGAGAAGATAAAGAAGGTATATGATTTGGGTCATACGTGACGCTGTTCGGGTTTTCAATGAAATCAAAAGTCGGCTTAAGTAAGCTACATAGATGCTAAGAAGGGTCCAATAATGGCTCAATACACTATGGTACTTAACTTTCATCTCTTTTTCAACATAGAATTAGGTTCTGAAATAGAGATGGTTGGAAAAAGAAGCAAAATCAAATTTCAATCAATTTTTTTAGAACACTATGAATCAAAGAAACATCATAAAAATTACAATTCAGATAAAACAGTTTGGCTCAGTAAATTTGAGTTCATTACCTGGAACACAAAAAATCAGAAGAAAGAAGTAAATAAATAAGACAGACATAATTTACGATACGAACTCAACACGATAGACTCTAATATTAATATGATTGATAAATATGTCCAATAAATTGGTGGTTCAATTAATAACACATTACAATAATATGATCCATAAGCAACAATATGATACGACACGATCGTAATTTCAAACAACCCCGAATCCCAACTAGTTTTCTTTTATCTTTTACTATGTGTTCTCTGTTAAACATATGAGATTTAATGGATCACGGGATCAAATGGGATCAAATCTACTAGCAGACTATGAAGACAAACAGCCGCCACCAAACAGAAGCATAAGCGAACATCAGAACAAACCCTAGAATCATTTAGATCTTGTAAGGTGAAACTTACATGGGGGAAAAGATCATGTTCAATGAATTAAGCACACATAACCACAAAAGTATATGCCTATATACAAAACCCTAGAAGCATGTATGACTTGAAGAAACAGAGAGTTGAGACATTTACCTGTACAGTAGTTGAGATAACTGTTCGTGTCCGTCAGCTTCTCTACTGTTGATTTCGCTGTTAGAGAACTCAGAAATGTGTGTGTGTGTGTGTGTTGAGAGAGAGAGAGAGAGAGAAGGGTTAAAATTTTCGTAACGGCGGGAGCTTTGTTTAATTTACCGCAAAATTTTTCATGTGACCATTATGTTTAGGTAAATTATACCGGCGCCCCAAATGTATACGTTAAGTTTCATTTTAATCCCTCAACTTCTAATTGTATCATATTTTACGTTAATTTTTTGAATTTTACTTTTATTGGATGATCCAATTTCAATTGTGCAAGAGTAATTTTAGAGGCTGCTTGGTAAGTGAGATTGGGAGAACTTTATAAGATGGGTTCCAAAAAAATAGTTTAAATAATACACAAAACTCATGTTTGACAAAAAAATTGACGTCTGGGTTATCAAGCTCAGCCCGCTATTGGTCCGGACCTTAAATCCCAAATTATGGGTTTCATCAAACCCAAGGGGGAGATGGTTTTTGGATGAGGTTTAATGGGTTTAAGAGATAAAATATCAATTATACCTCATACATATACAAACATAAGTTTAAATCAGATTGATGAATGGACAAAATAGTCATATATACAAATATATTATCATAATAATGATATATCCATAGACATACTAAACATGAGTATAAATTGAATTTAATGTTGAATCTCATCTTTCTAAAGAAGAGGTTTGGGTTTTAAAGAATTTGGATAAGTCGGTCCAAACTTTTTTCAAAAAATCCATCCAAACAAACTCTTAGGTCTGTTTGGTAAAAGGGTATAGGGGGACTTGGCAAGATAACTTTGGAAAAAATAGTCTAAAGGATACCCAAATTCCATGTTTGGATTAAAAATTGAAACCCGAGTTTTCAAACCCACCCCGTAACTGACCCGAAAATTAAACTCATGATCATAGATTTTGTAAAACTTAGGGAGGGGATGAATTTGGGAAGATATGTTAATGGGTTCGAGAAAACTAATCGAGCATAAACGAGCCCAAAATAAATCGAATCCAAGTTAAGTCCAAGTATTTACACATAAGCGAGTTAAATCTATCGAGCTCATTTTCTAAATAAGTCGAACTCAAGTAGTTCGGTCCGACTATCAACCCTACTTAGAAGCATAGATTTCACTGTCAAGGAATATCAATACTCATAACTACAATACAGAAACAACATAAGTATGGATGTAAAATCAATGAAATTCCTCTATTAACAAGCCAGTTGCATATATCAAAAGCGCTAGTCTTCTCATACAAGAATAGGATCGTATCAATTATCAAACTAAGAAAACAAATCAGAGTCCAAGGAATAAAATCATTGAAAAGTGAGATCCGTGAGATATATATACACGTCTCACTTTCCCAGAATCATCCCTCCAGTTTGAACTGTGGGATTGTTTCAGGGTACCATAGTCTCAAGCCCCATCTACAATTAGCAGCCCTTCAAGTTCCTCTCTACGACGCTCTAATTCCTGCAATTGTTAGCACAAGAGAGTTACTTTCTGGTCCCTCCAAGAACTAGCCATAATGTATAAAGGAAAACAAAACCAGTGTCGAGAATGCTTCAACCCAGTGCTGTGAAGCCCTCTCATATTCAACGAAGAAAAAGAAATCCAGGAGGGAAGGTACTATAACCATGAATATGTGTGTGGTAAGTCCAAACCACCCCTTCACCAGCACCCTCTGGGATGGAAAATAAATTCACAGAACAATCCTATTCAGAAGTGGGAACAATATAAGGGCTATGCATTTACATGCTGTTACTCCTCACAGCACCTGAAGTTTTTTTAACTTTTACCATGAATCCATGGCACATTGTAGTTCATTACCTTTAAGAAATTCAAGAATATGCCGTGATACAGGCACCAAGTATGAGTATGTTGGAATCAAAAGTTCTTCATCATCCCCTCCCTCCACCCCAACAATTAAACCCTCCCCATACCCCCCCCCCTCAAAAAAAAAAAAAAAAAGCACCCAAATTGCTTCTTTCCAGGTCTAGAAAGCACTTAACCATCAAAATGGTCCACTCAGCACGCACGCGGTAGATCAGGACTGGCTATTTGATGGCCTCACTAGAGGAATTTATATGCACAAAATTTCATCTGTGCTGATGATAACAAAGCACTGAAATGAAACTTATAGAAGACACCCCTTCAGAAGGTTGACATATATGTGATTGTCGTACTCCCTAGGCCATAAAGCGTTGGTTTTGCATCTTCTACTGGCAAGTAACAGCATAATTAATGCGAAGTTGTTAGAGGTTCAAGTGATTGGGCTCCAGATTTTCTCTTCTACAAAATTCAAATCATTGCATAGGAACCCAAAAAAAAGGTCCAAAAAAAATTATGGATATGGAGCATAGACAATTTACACACAAGCATTAACAACCATCAATCTCATAGAACTACGGCAACACAATAGAATACCTGTAGATCCTTAATTGCTTGTTCCCTTGAAACTTCTTTCTTTTGGCGAGCACGTTTGACAACACCAATGCATAGAATTCCCTTGAATTGATAACATATAAAATGTCATAAGCCCAATAAACCCAAATCAGACCTTTCAAACTAAGAGTTGATGAACTAGTCAAGCAATAGACCACATCTCTCTACAGGAGGCCATAAATATTATGTATAACACAAGTAGAGTACATGCAGTCACACAAAAGACAGACCTTTTAGTGCAGCCAAACATTTGAGTTCTAGTAACTGAAAGACAAGGTGAATATTGTTCACTATTTAGGGCCAGCATGGAAACCAGGGAAGTAAGTGTATGTACGAATGTATAAGCTTCCAGATAAAGATAGGCGATTTTGTGATCCTACCGATACAACATAAACCACACCACAAGCAAGGAGCAGGTAGCCTGCTATATTCTGGAGAAGAGCAAGGTCTTTCCGCCCCTCAGAATGGTCAGAGTAAGCCCGGGTCATCACTGCAACACTGAAAGGAAAAAGTAATTAATGACTCCAAAAATAAAACTAGAACTCAGGTGCTTCTTTAGGGTAGAGGGTGGGGGCCACGACTGTGTGTGTGATTCTTATAGTGACGGCTCGTCTAAACAGTCAAGTAGTCCCACACTAATACGGTCACAATATGCCTAATTGTACTTAATATGACCACTCGGTTAATTCATCACCATCCTTAAAGAATCGCAAAAATCCTGTCAATGTGCACGGAAAGTGAGTCACTTTCACAGACTTATGGTCAGACCAAAATTATCCAGCCAACACCTTATCTTTTTTTTCCTTATGTGACCCGTTATTAAAAAATAAAATAATGAAGAAATTTTGCCAATCATGGCTGTATAAAAACATAATCAGGTAATCATTGAGTTGATAATTTCCAGATTCCAGCATCATAACCAATGACAAGCTATCGAGGGAAGCAATAATGTGAAGAGATATAACAAGTATGTACTCAAAAATCACACATACAATATCTGCAGCATACCCCTCCCTGCCCAATACTCCAAGACCTGCACCATAAATTAAACCATGTAAGCTAACTTAACACAAAAAGCAACAGTGGCTGAGGTACTAGCATATTGGTGCTAAAAGGAACAACAAAGAATGATTCAGAATTTGTATTTTGGCATGTAAAGCCAATGACTACAGCATGTGATACATGGGAAAAAGTACATAAATAATTAAATAAAACCAATGATAGCAAGAATATAATCTTTCTAGTAAAGAGATATCATAATTTATTAAACACATAAGTTTCCATAGAGCCAACTGTAAAGAATTTGAGTAAGAAAGTAGTCAAGCATCTACTCCTATCTTATACCACAAGGACTTGATGCCTCACTATGCTAACAGTACAATTCAACAAATGAATCTAAAAACACAATTAAAGAATTGGAAAAGAATATTGCTCAACATGCAGACTCTATTCCAATTTCCAAAGCTTTGGATTTCTATCAACTAAATTGGTTCTTCTCACAGCTTGGTCTTCTACCGAAGAGTGAAGTAAAGCCACACATTTATATGAAGAATCCAAAGGGGAATAATATTTTCAAATACAAAGATTAATCTTCCAAAAAACTTGCACCCTATTTACATTTTATTGTGCGCATGCCTGGATGGAAACTTAATAGCATAACAACAGATTCTCCTACATGGAGTGGACGTTACCAATTTAATTGACCTAATCTCACTATCAGATCACACTGTCAATAAAATTGGACCTCTTCTAGTGGAAATGCAATTTCTTCTGTGATTGGAGTCTCACGTGATAAAGCAATATAAATACATTGTTGCTATTTCAAAGTGAAAAAGAACACAAAATGAGAAGTTAGATTGTACAAGATTGGGATTTACACTACAAGCTCCACCCACATAACATAACAGTGGGTTTCTCAAACAAAATTCAAGTCTCAAGTGTCCAATCATGAGGCAGCAGTAATTAGAAAATATTTACAAGAGCAGATTCTTGTCCTTGAGCCACTCAGGATCAATCTCTGTCAAATCAGTCCAGTTCTCGTTGTGGGTTTACCTTGCACTAATTTCCTATAGAAACACATTTGGCATTCAATGAGAGGTTTTGGGTGGTCTGATTCAATTAGCGGGATTAATCAAATTGTGGAAAACTTTCATGCCTCCCGCTTGGAACCAACCAGCTGGGTAATTTTCAAATCATGATTGAAACAGAGATAGAACAATTTCGACTACGAGTTGTTTAGAAAATCAAAATATGCTCAACACAGAACAATTGATGAAAGTAAAATTATCTGAAATTGATGCAGAAAGAAAGACATTCCCTGTAAATTCTTTACAATATCCAGCACTTTAGAGTGCATATAAGCTCATAACTACGAACGAAACCGAACCTTCCAGAACTTGATAATGAATCCCCATTCTGTCTCGGCAACAACCACGAAGATGGCAATCAAAACAGCATAACACCGAAATATCCCATTAAATATCTACAAAAAAAAAAAAAAGAAGCCATTTTATAACAAGGTCTTACTCTTCCAGTACCTACATATATACATATTCATACATAAATAGCCGTACAAACGTGTAGACAGAAAAATGAATATATATATATATATACACACAGAGAGAGAGAGAGAGAGAGTACATCGGATCCGTTCCTGAAAGAACGCACGGCGGAGAGGATATTGACGGCGATGCAGAGAATAGCAGTCACAGACGTAATGAAGCCGAAGCATCTACAAGCCACCAAGAACGGGTCTGGCCTCGTTCTAAGTCTGCTAATTTTGGTTGAAGAACCGTTGCTACCTCTCTCTGAGTTCTCTCCCTCTTCGTCTCTCGCCATTTTCTTCCACTTTCCCAGAAATTCACAGAACTTTTCTCTACCCCCAAACAGCCTCCTAACGGAAGCATGTAATCGCTCTTCGTTTCGTTCTCCCTCTTGGTTGAGCCCGCGAAGTCGAGTGAGTGTATACCGGGTCTGCTATCGACATATACAGATATAACAAAGAAAGGGCTGCAGATCAGGTTTTTAGCAGGACCAAAACGACTTTTGAGTGAGGTCAATAAAAAAAATATTGCAAAAGCCAGTAAAACGCTGCCGTTTCACTTAACCGCATAATGCTGTAAGCTCCCAACTGCAGACGAGCCAGACCCGAATATACAGATGGAGGTGGATATAGTTTGGGTGCAGAATTGCACTTGGTACCCCAAAATTATTATATTTTTTAATTTGTAGGCTCAAAGATTAATTTTTTTACATTGTATCTTTAATTTTATAAAATAGTTGCAATATTACCTTTACACTAATTATCGATGCTGTTTTTATCATTTTTTACTGCACCTGAAAAATATAAATTTGGTGTAATATAAAAAAATTAATCTTTGAAAGCATAAATTAAATAATTTTTAATATCTTTTGGGGTAGAAAATGTCATTCGCCCATAGATTAGAGGCTTCTCTACCCACCAGTCAATAAATTCGTTGGAGATTATTAATATCTTTTGGGGTAGAAATGTCATTCGCCCTTAGATGCTTTTATACCGGCCAGTCAATAAGTTCGTTGGAGATTGACACGTGTCTGTCGCCGTTTGAATCTGACCGGGCAGGTGTAGGATATGAAGCCTATATTAATCTTGCACTTGGAATTAATTCAGGGTAAACTTTGTTCACATCCCCGCAGTTATCCATATATTCAATAACATCCCTTATTTTTTCTAAAATTTTATTACACTTACTTGTAAATTCTACTGTTAAATCAATGACATCTCCTGCCATTAACAGCGATCTCTGACAAGCTGAAAAGTGTAAATAATTACTTCAATTTTGTATTTTATGGCGAAAGTACCCTTTAGCTCAAAGAAAATTAAGTCTACAAAGAAAGATTGAAGGTACGAAGATGTAACGAAGTTTTCATTTTTGCTAAGGTAAAACCTCTCTCTCAATAATTTTTCTTTTCTTGATTTTGTGGAGCTCTTTTTTTTTTTTGGCTTAATCCACTGATGAATTTTAGGATGAATTTTTAAATTATTTTTTATTTATAATATATCCAAATTTTGTGGAGTTTTTCCTCAATTTTTTTTTTTTTGCTTAATCCACTGATAAATTTTAGGATGAATTTTAAATTTTTTTTTTGTTTGTTTATAATATATCCAGATTTTGTGGAGTTTTTCATTTTTTTTATTTTTTTGGCTTAATTCATTGATGAATTTTAGGATGAATTTTTAATTTTTTTTTTTTTGCCAATATATCTAGATTGGTGACATTGTTAAAGTTAGGGCTCAATGTCTTCTTTATCTAGCTTTGGTGGAGGCAGAGATATAATAAAGGAAAATATCGATATAAGATTTATTTTATGACCAATGTTATTGTCGTAAAAGTACTGTGATTAAGATCATCCAATCAGAGAAGCCTACCAGAGGACGATCGTATTTTAAATGTGAGAATGGAGCATGTAGATATTTTGTATGGTGTAATCTCATATCTGTTATACCAATGTTCCGTTAAGACTAGAAATATGGAATAAAGTTTGTCAAAAATGAGCTGAATGTGAAATTAATTCCAATCAAAGACACGGTGGGAGAGGGGAATGAGAATGGTCAAGAGTCATGGGTTGGGTTTATTAAATACATCCGGTTAAGTAACCTAACTATAGTTAATTAAGAGTTTCATTAATAAAAAGTAAGGAGTGTCATTGAACACATGGATAACTATAGGGGGTGTGAATAAAGTTTATCCAAAATTAAATATACTATCTAATATACGTAAGAACATTTATGTAAAATGGTCTCCTCCGTTACCGCCGGTGTCAATGAAATTTTAGAAAAAACAGAGGGTGTCATTAAATATATATATAACTATAAGGGGGTATAAATGAAGTTTACCCAATAATTAATTAAATTTGGTTTCAGAGACATTGGCCCACCTAGTAGAGAAAATAGGATAATTTTATTTATACCAAAACTTGAATTAAATCAACTATATTCGTGGATTATGATAGGACTCGTTGATCTAATAGTTGCAAGTGATTCGGTACAAATTTTTGTGCATATTTTTTGTGCACATAACATTACTCGAGAAAAATATTCTATTATTATGCTCCATTTAATACGGTGGAAAAATGAAAAGATAAAAAGTTAAAGGGATAAATAAAACATCATGTTTGGTAAGGAAGGAAAATAGAAAGAATGAAAAAGTGGATGTATTAACTTTCTTTCCAACTCACTAAAATCAATCCCTCCAAATTCAGAAGGAAAGTGGATGAAAAGTTAATTATTTATGTTGATATATATCTTATTTGTCTATATATTATGTATATATTAATTTCATATAAATAAATATATATATATATATAATTTAAAAATAAATAAATAAATAAAAAATTCATCTTAGTTGTGAAAATTTTCGATGCAACATGATAACACGACTCAAACTCCACACGAATTTTATGACACGAACTTAAAAATAATCTAACAGACGAACAAAAAATATAAAAGACTCATAATTTTATAACTCAAAATGAATCTGACACTGACACTGACACGACTCAATTGTCACTCTTAATCTTAGCCAATACAAAAAAAAAATTAGTCATTTTTATTTTCCATTCATCCAACCAAACACAAAGGAAAAAAAGTATATCATTCCAACTTTTCATTCTTGAATGATAGAAAATGTATCTCTCCTACTTTCTATCCTTTCTATTTTTCATCATTCCTACCAAATGAAGCATTAATGTCACATGGTATAATAATTACAAAATTCACGTGATTTTCACAAAATTTAATAATCTCTTATTCATATAATATATAACCACCTCCGTAAAAAAAAAGTGGAATTCATTTTATTTATTTTTTTATTACAGTGTGTCTAAACACAGAACAATGATACTTGATCTTTAGGAGGTGTGGAAGAAATTGAACATAAGACCTTCCCAGGATGGTTAACATAATAACATTTACTAGAAGTCAAACTCAATCACTCCTAAAAATTATTTATTTTCTAATTTTTATTGAACATTTATATTATGTCAACAGTATCATATAATATAACCATTAACATATTCTTAGTTTTGTACAACAAAACAAACCTTAGCATCATAGTGGCTTAGAAAAACCAATATTACCCGAGTTTTTTTTTTACCAATTTATCATATTTTTAAATATTATTCTCTATTTTATTATAGTTTTTGATTTATTATATTATTTAATATGCTTCACTTTCACATTAGGAAGTTAGGTACGGAGATCACTACATTCATATAATAACGTATAACATAAAAAATGACTTTTATTTTTTGTTGTTAGAATCGTTTTAAATTTTACTTTAAAATTAATTTGGCGGTTAATATTAACTCTCTAAATTTAATATGAAAAATAAGTCCGGAAAAGGTGTGTTTAGGGTATATCATAAATTCTTAAAAAAAAATAAATATTATTTGGAATAATTTATTTTAATTACTTTCAAATAAGTCAAAATTAATTTTACCACTTAAATAAGTAAGTAAAAATAAATAAAAAATAACTTCTACTTCTTTAAAATCACTTCTCTATAATACACTTTATCACCACTATCGTTGCCGCCACCGTCATCTCCCCACCACCATCACGTCTACCACATCACTGTCATCACCACCACCATCATCATTTCATTCTTACATTTATTAATTATTATCGGTATCATCATCATCCCACCATCACTATCACCCACTATTACAACTCACCACCACCTGTCGTCCCCACCCACACTGTCACCCACCTCCTACCACACCTATCACTATCACCGTCATTTGACACCTCCACTACCACCGTCGCCCACAAGTATCCGTTGTCACCCACTACCACCATCGTCTTCGTCCACCACCATAACCCCATTACCGCCATCACCATTGTTGTCGCCCCACCACCATCATTGTCAACCATTATTATCGTTGCTCATACACACCACCACCACTATTTGTTACTTATGACTACAATTACTGTCATCGTCATCCAAAATTCACCTCTACGATCATCGGAGTCATTTACGACTACCACAAGCACCATGGTCGTTGTCGCTGACTACAATTATCATTGTCTCCCACCCACCATCATTATTGCTGCCTACTACCACTCACCCTCATTACAACCGGTGTTTAAATTCATTTCTATTTTCTCTATGTTTGTGATTTTGATTTTGAATGTAAATACAAATATTTTTATAAATTTTGTTATTACTCCGTACTTTCAAGTACAGACAATAACTAATTATAAAATAAGTTAGAATTATAAAATACATACTAAAAGTGGAAAAGGTACCACTATCCTTCGGAAATTTATTTGGTAATAGCCCATAATATTTTGGTCTACTTATTGATTTTTTTTTCCCATTTTACTTGTGCTCATGGGTGGAATTGAGGAGTAATGCTGATAATCGAGCCAAGATACTTGGACTCCGCTCATATAGGACTTGACTCAACGAATAATTTTTTAAACTTGTTTAGAAAAACGATCTTAAAAGACTTACTTCGAACTCACAATATTCGGCTCATTTATATGTAAAATAATCGAATTATTTGAGCTCAGCTCAGGTTCGAGTCATTTTGGGCTTAGCTCGGCCTCGATTTTTTTTTTAAACAATCCAAATTTAAATAATTTTTTAGACTTACTTAAAAATATAAACTTGATAAATTCGCAATGCTAAACCTAATTATCAGTCCTGCTGAGAAGGGACTAGCCCCTCTTTCTCTTTAGTACATTTTAAAAGGTCAATGAAATGATATTTAATAGCCAAATGGGGATGAAACCCATGGATGAGTGATAGTTTTATTATCGAAGATATTTGGTCGGACGAGTTTAATAACAAAGGAAGTTAAAAAAAAAGGTGATTGTTTTCGTAAAACTAGATTATGAATGTGGCTTATTTCAAACATAATATGTTGATTCACACATGACATCATAACGTGAAAATAAAAGGCATAAACTAATTTTTTTTAATATAGTAGGAACTGATATCTTTGGATTCTATGACCCAAACTAATTA